TAAAAAGAAAAATTTGTAGTTAATTATTGCATAGTTTGTGTACTTGTAAAAGGTATGCAAATTGATAGCGAAGTGTTTAGAAGTGTTTAATGAGATGAAGAGTGTAGAGGTAAAACAAAAATATGGATCGAGTGACTCATGTGATCAGGTCGTGGTGGGAAATTATAGTGCAGTAGTGTCAGGCATAAGTAAGATCAGATACAATGAGTACTGTAATCGCTGAATATATAATGATGATGGGAAATTAAAAAGTTTAATAAATTAATTACAAAGAAATAGTTAAAGTGTTGCACAAAAGTATGTTATTGTTGAAATCATGTGTATATAAAGTGAAACTAAATAAAGAAGTTTAATTAGTCTTTTTAACTATTAACACTTTGACACTAATATCATTAATATCCTCTATGAAAATAAAGAAAACAAGTGCCAAGGTAAAAAAGTGTGTCTGGATATTGTCATGACTAATAAAAAAGAAAATGCAATGTCTTAGATTGAAAGCTCCTATTTATTAATCTATGCTACAAACACAAAAATGGGTCATATGAAGAAAAGAACATCTGTATCAAATCGTAAAGGCGCAAAGCATGTCTTGCCTTCTTTTGAACTCAATAAGGAACAAAGAAACATTTTAGGCTCTTTAAGTACCCCAAGTGTCTCAAGTATTCCAAGTGACTCAAGTACTCCAAGTACCTCAAGTGTTGCAAGTAGCCCAAATGTCTCAAGCGGCCCAAGCAGTTCTCAAATAGAATCAAATATACAAGTTGCCAAAAATGTAGCTGTAGATCCTTATTCAGTTGAACCTCATTTAGATGAACCTCATTTAGACGAACCTCATTTAGACGAAACCTGCTTAGATACATTAGATGATAATGATATTTTATCTGATCCAGATTTGGTTGATGATAAGAATATTGACAATATTTCAGAAAATGAAATGGCCAATTCAAATACAAAATGAAAAGATAATGAAATTGCAAACAAATATATGAATGTTCAAAAGAGAATTTGTAAATTGTTGTTTATAATATGCTTATATTTGATATTTTCTTTATACTCATACTCTTTATTTCTCTTTTTATAATTTATTGTCATTGCTTTAGACCTTTCTTCGACTATTGGAAGTATACACGGTGTACAGCTACAAATGGTCCCCATGATACAAGATATACAAAAAAAGCTTGATGAAATGTATTTGGACTGGAAAGCTGTAGGCTTTGGTGTGCAAATGGAAAATGATATCAAATGGATAGAGGTATGCAAGTATTGAATCATTATTGTTATGATATTAATATATTAAATGGCAGCTGTTTGTTTTATATTATATAAATTTATATAATAGGATGCTATTAGTCAAACCATTTATGGTTTAATTGAAAAAGTTAAATACCCAAGTGATAAATGTTTAATGCAAGTGTGTTACGATGCATTGTTAGACATAAAAGGGGAGGGATTTACAAACAAAATTAAACATGGCGGTTGGAAATGTTTTTTTAATAAGCATGTTCGTACTCCGGTAAGCAAATTATAATGATTATTTAGTATAAAATATTTAATTTTATATATTCTTTTTTTCTGTATTTACTTTCGCTTTTGTGCTTTTATTTTTTCACCTTTCTCTTTTTAACAGGCTCAGAAATTCTGTCACCTGAGAAGAAGTAATATTGTCCAGCGTATTAAAAATTCAATTCATACCAAATTCAAAGGACTCATAAAGCCGAAAAGGAAAACTATCAAGTAACCCGTGATGAAGAATAGAGGTTCAAAAATTCAAAAATCATATGAGAATATTATTTAAAATTAAATAGCCCTGTCAATGTTGATGATAACCCAAATTATACATATCTTAACTTTATACTTAATCGTGCATTTCCAGATCCAAAGACAGAAAAAAATTCTATTGCATTTGGGATGGCCATTGCATTCAACTATTTTGACCCTACAAAAGGGATTATCATAGTTCTGAGTGAGGTTGTTGAAAAAATGAATTATTTCCTTGAAAGATGAATGTTCCAGATCATGAGAGTTGTGAATGAACTACGGTCTAATTTATACACCTATTGCTATCATAAAGGCCTTTGCTATTAATGATGTGATGCCTTCTTAGTATTCAAATGTCAGAGCTTTCTTTATGCTGTTGTTATTTTTTAAAAAAAGATTTCTTTTTCATATTGCTTTTTCTCCTAAGAGATTATAAACATTATTATACTTGTAATTGCATTGTTCTGATAAATATTATTTAGCGTAAGAAATTATACAGTAATATAATATTTATAACATATATAAGTAATTAATACGTATATGATATCTAGTTTTTTTTAGAGTAAGTACAGTACGTATAGTGTGTATAGTATATATAGCATATGCAAACACGTATGATATATAAACTATCTATATGTAAGGAGTAGAATACAAAAGGCGGTTTATAAGAAACTTTTGAGATATAAATGGTTTTATAATTTGTTCTAGAATATTCTAAAAAAAATTT